TTGCATAGTGTCCTATGCAGAGCAGCCATTTAGTAACTGGTAATTGTAACTATTAGTTTCTTAAAGGGTAAGTTCAGAAGACATTTGAGTTGAGACCCAGTTAATTTAAGTTACACCAACAATTTTATTTACAAGTGCATTAAATTTGGGGGACTCTTCCTAGCTTTCTTCCCCAAATATTAAATAAGCTACCTCTTAACTTCTCTGTGGTTCAGTTTGCTCATCTGTAAAGTAGTGACAATAACAGTACTTTGAAAAAACTAGTAAGTTAATATATAGGCAAATCTCTTAGAACAAGGCACACTGTAAGGGCTGTATAAGTGTTAACTATTATTGCTACCATATAAACACTCTTAATTGCAGATAAGCCATAGTTCTCATAAACTAAAGCTAGGAACGCCTCTGAACAGGGCTGGGGGCACAGGCCTGTCTTTGCCTTATAAGTTGGCGCTGGGTAAGGCCCTGGTTCTCGGGGGATCCTCATTCCCCCCCTCTGCAGATGAATATTATCCCTGTTCCTTTGCCTTTCCCCTCCCAACTCTGCAGAAATACACTCCAGTACTCAACAAATATTTGCTAACAGGTCAGCGGTTTCAGGAGGGAGAAACTCAAATTCAGAGTGGGTTGGGGGCTCATTCAGGGGCTCAGTGGCACCAGGAGCTGAACAGCAGGTGGAGAAAAGCCTACGTTCTCCAGCTATTTCAGGGTCCAGTCCTTACGCCATATCTCCCTGCTCTGTGCACCTCCTTCCTCTGTGCTGCCTCCACTGTCCTGAGTGGATCTTCTCCAAGAGCTGCCAACCTGGAGCAAACAGCAGAGGCCAGGTGGGAATGCACTGACAGGTGCCCCTGACTCTGGCATCTGAGCATGAGCTGTGCTGAGGCCACAGGCTGGCTTGGGCTGATGACCTGGACAGCCCATAGCCCACTGATGGAGGTGAGAGAGGAAATGTGGGCTTGTCTTCCTCACCCCACGTAGCCTCCGCTCCAAATAAGCTTTGAAGTTTCCCCTGATTGGTTTTGGTGCCGACACCAAAGGGAGCCACCACGGGCCTACTCCATCCATAGCTAAGGCTTTGGGGGCATGATAGAGGAGGGGAGAGGAATGGCAGCAGGTAGGGAGGAAGGCGAATGCAGGAGCAGGCCCTCTTCCACCTGAGAAGTGGCTGGAGATGAGCCTTGCTTGGGTCTGAGTCAGGCCGGCGCACATTGGCAGCCTGAGCTCTTCTTACAGAGCGAACAGTCCCTTCTCTCTTCCCTGCCCTTCTGGTTCTCCTCGGCTCACTCATCTGAGTTTGGAAGACTCCAGTGGTCACCAGCATCGTCAATAGAGCTTCTCAAATGCAGGATTTAGAGCCAAGAATTGCTAGCCCAGTATCTTGGTTTCGCTGAGCACCAGACTCTTGTCTGCAGCCTGGATGATAAACTACTTAATGCAGAGGACCCTTAAGGAGATAAAATGAGATAATATAACTCATCCTGCCACAGCACTCTATCCAGACGGCACCTTATCACACCGGGCTGCCGAGATCTGTTCACACGAATATCTCATCTCCTCCTGTTTCTCAGGCAACTGCCATGATTTATTCACCTGGCAGTGGTAGGCATTCACCAAGTTAAACAAAACTGGCCTACAGGCCAGAGCTGGTCTACAGGTGGGTTTTGTTTTGCCTGCAGAGTATGTAAAGGAGTTTTGATTTGTTGTTGAAATCAGGAGATTCATACACAAACCTGGACTGCCCAGTTTCTCTGGAAAATTTAAAAGATGGGGCTTCAGGGCCCATGTTCCTCCCGCTTGGAGACGATCTGCTAGCACTCAGGAGGGGCTGCTCCCTTTAGACAGATGCTCTCCACTCTGTCCTCTCCATCACTCCTCCTCCTCTCACCACTGAATGGCTTCCACTTTACGCATCGATTCCACCTTGCCTGGTCCCTGTAGGCAGCTGAGTTCGCAGCTCCTGCTGGTGGTTTGGGCAATAATGGAAGCAAAGGTCTCCACCTGCCCCACCAAAGAAAGTTTCGATACATTATGCTTGCTGAAAAGGCAGCATCTGGGTAGTGCCAGGCAAACAGAATGTACTATGCCTCTGGAGAGAGGTCATCCCCACAGAGGTACTCTAGACAACCCAGCTGTTCCCCGGGTGGCCAACGGCAGTGATGTTTGGTTCATCTGGCTGCCATCAATCCTTCCTCTGGTCCACCCTCTCTGGTGACAACAGGTGACGACGTGCCATTTGTTCAAGAAGAGAGGGAAAAAGGTGGCACTGGCTTTATCGAGCCACCGTCAGTCAGCAAGGAAAACATTTCTGGCCTTCACATGCAACTGTTCTAATCATTTCATTATCACCAGGAAACCGACCCAAACATCCAAGGACAAAAGGAAAGAAAGGGGTGGCGGAGGCGGCAAGGAGCGCGTCACTCCAGGCTGAGGCTCGCAGTGGGCACAAGGGGCACAACGCGGAGGGGCAGACTCAAGGGGCTTGGAAGGGCCTGAAGCTGGGGCTGTGGCGGCAGGCGCGGGCGCAAGTAGGGCAGCTGCCACATTAAAGTAGCGAGCTGTGCGCGAGCCCAGGGAGTGAGGGCCTAAAGAAACAGTTAATGGCCTGGGGCTCCTGCTTCAAGAACAAGCCACCGCAGCAGTGAACAGCACTCACGTGGGGAGGACACAGACGGACGGGCACCACCACCCACCCTGATGTTTAATGTGGGATGCAATTAACCCCTAGAAAGGGGACTCCGGAATAGAGGTTTTCAAAGTAGATCCCCCCAATCCCCCAGGACAGCATTGTACAAAACTGAGTCAACAGAGCTGCTCTGGTGATGGGGGACGGACAGGAGGCCCCAGCCCCACCCTAGCACTCCCCTTACAGGGCTCCACAGCGCCAAGGAGCACAGTTCAAAGATCACTGCGCTTGAGTAAAAGCACCTTTTCCTTTTACAAAGCAGAACAAGCCTCCCCCAAAGAGAACTCCTAAGAGGCTAAGTGTTCCTACAGAGATGAACAGTTCCACTTCCTGTTGCCACTTTGTTAACTATTTATTGAATGAGGCAGTAATAGACAGAATGGAAAACGACACAGAATCCATGCTCTCTACTGGGGTCTTGCTTTGCTTCTTCTTCTTGGCAATTTCTCAAACTATCAGGAGGTTATTTCACCACAAAGGAACACGGACTTTAAAGCCCCTGGACAGTTTCACAACGATGATAAAAAATAATAATTAAAAAAATAGCAAATTGTGGAACTAGGACTGTTTTATGTAAATTTCCCCTCCCTCCCCCCATTACGTACAGAAAAAAACATACAAAGAACATTGGATAGTTTTATATAAAACAAGCAAATACAAGAATCTGAAACTTTTCTCAAAGGCTGAGCAAGATGTGAAGAATCTTTTAATGTCGCATTAAAAGAAAAAAAAAAACACATTAAATACACTATCACCCATGGGGGGCCCGGGAGGAGGGAGGAAGAGTTGTCCCTGTACTCAAGGAGCAGAGATTTGGCCTGTCAAAAAGTCAGGTGAATTCAGCCGCTGGAGACTTGGGGCTTTTGCAGCTGAGAAATCACAGAATTTAGTTACAAGAACACCCACAGACCAATCAACACCTGTGAGAAGGAAGCTGTGCGGGGCCCAGGCCCAGCAGGATGCACCTGGGAAAACTGCAGCGTTCCTTCTGAAACAGGGCCTGATCCAGGAGTGCAGGAAGCACCCTCAGCCCTCTCTCTCTCACGTCCCCCAGCGTGATGGCCAACCTTCCACGCGCCAGGTGCCCCCGTCAGTTTCAGTCTCCTCTGTTAAGCTACAGAAAGTTACAGGAAAGGAAAAAATTGCTCCCATTGGTGTAACCTGGTCTTTGAAGATTTTTCTCTCCCTCCTTCCTTTCCCCTTCCAACCCCTCCCACCACCCCATTCTCTCCCCACCACGCACACACTCACAAGCACACTTAACACGCACGCACTCCTCAAACCCTTAATACTTCTGTTACCTTCAATTCATATACACGACCAGTTCAGGACTGACCTTAAAACCAAAGCGACACGTTAATAGTCATGAGATCAAGAAGGTTTCCTCGGGAGGGGAGGAGATGGGAGGCTGAGGAAAACCCTCTCATCCCTGCCTGGGAGTTTTAAGGACATTCACTTGCCCGTGGCAAGGTCAGCACCTGGGCCAGCCCGAGGAGCGTCCCAGCTGCCAGACCACGAGGCCCTGGACCCTGCAAGCACAATTTCTGGACCTCACCCCATTCCGGAACATCCTTCCTCAGCCAAGTCCAGCAGGGAGAGTTCCGGGTGGCCACTGGGAGGCAGCTTTGGTGAAGGACATGGTCACCTCTGCCTGAGTTTGTCAGTAGCTCAACGCATGACCCTGGTATGAACAAAAGCCGGTGGCTGTGTCTGGCCACGTACCCAACACCCACTAAACTGGGTGAATTATTTTTTCCACAGCTCACCTTGATCTCATACAGATAATTCCATGCGGGTTTCATACATACAAACATATACATACATACATACATATATATATATATATATATATATATATACACACATACATATATATATATATACATACACATACACAGACACACACGTATACATAATACACACATATACATACACACACACATATATATACTTTATATATATATGTAAATGTGTATATCCATATGTACACATATACATATATTCACACTCACACATACACACACAGAACTATACACACGTTTTCGCAGAAAGAAGTCCTTGCCACAATTTGGCTTTTTGGGGGGGGGACAGTGAAATTGACAACGCAGTATCTTGTTCCACCAATCCCAGAAAATCAAGAGTGGTGCTTTAAAAAAATGCAATTCCAAAATCCGCTGCCTTTCTTCCTTTTTAAAAAAAAGGTTAACAAAACTTTTCTTCCAAAGTCGAGAGACTTAATTCCATTTGATTGCACCTCTGCAAACGTGTAAAAAATTCTGAAGTAGACTAGAAAACGATGCCATGATATGGCTGCATGTCACTGTTCCAACGTCACCACCTCCACAGCCTGGCCGTCCATGGTGACTGCGCTGTCCGATATCCTGGTGGTCACAGGGGCCATGGCCACCTGCACCGGCCCATTGCCCTGGGCGAGGCTGGTTACCACAGTCTGGTACATGCTCACAGGGATCTGGACCAGTCCTGGGGAGACAAGGGGAGACCGTTGGTGGGGAATGGGTGCAGCTTCCCAGATGCTGGCTGGACAGGGCAATGAGCTCCAGCCCTCACAGTATCACTGTCTGCAGCCTCAGGTAATTGCACACCCACTGTCCAGGCACAAATACAACCCTTTTCTCACCCCATTTTAATTCTTTAAAACAGAATATCAGGAAAGAAAATTTGGAGAAATTGTAGAAACATGCCTCAGAACAGGGCCTCCCCAACTTGCCAAGAGAAGACCCTGCCTGCCGGCCTACCTTCAACTTTAGGAAGCATATACACAGGCCCATCAGGTGTGAATTCTCCTCTCAACAAGTCCATCTCTTCTGACGGCCTTCTTCTCCAGGAAAGGCCACCATTAATTTTCTCTGATTTTCTGCTACACTGACTTCTTCAGCCCTCTGGCTGCCTATATGCTCAAGTTTCTCTCAGCTTGAAAAAACTTCTCCCTCAATCCTTTCCTGTCTTCTGGCCATTATCCCTCTCCTCAGAGTCAGCTTATTTAAAAAAGAAAGAAAGAAAAAAAAAAAAAGCCTAGGTAATTAGTTTTCTGATATTAGATTTCATAGACCAGTAAAATTTTTAAATATGTTCTGGGGTCAACTTAAAAAAAAAAAGACCTCCAACTACCTCCTAATATCACTATTATTTTAGAAAGGAGGGTTTAACAGAAAGAAAGGAGGAAGCAAATAATTTCAGAAAAGGGCAGTCCTCCCTAAGAAAGGAAAGTTGATAATTTTATATAACATATTAAAAAAAAGATTTCCAATTAAATAAGACAGAATAAATGCACATATAAAATTCCTCTTCCTTCTAAAATAAAAATTATAGTGGAGGAAAAAAAAGATATAAATGAGGGATGTCAACATATTTCTGGAAGATGCAAAGCAAACGTAAAGGGGTTCTGACTTATCAGAGAAGGGGAAGCTGCAACTCCTGTGTCCCAGAGAGCTCAGGACATGGAGGCTCAGCCACTGCAGAACGAGAGGAAGAAGCCAAAAACAGGCGTTAGCTGACAGCTTGTATTCAACTGACTGGACCAGTGGGTCCCACCAACCCCAACACCCAGAACTTTGTTGACAGGACATCTGAAGTTCACCCACCGTATTGAGAAACTGACCCGGGGAGGCTGCAGAGAAGACCTACGGTGACATCTGGTGGGTGGGGAGGTGAGGGGAGGGGGGTGCGGAGACAATGAAAAACCTGGCTTGCGGCCCTAATATTTACCACCCCAAGGCCTACAGGCCACCCAGCTCTGCCCTGCCCTGCACACCCCGACTATCAGTGTTTCAGTGTTTCACTCTTAGGGAACACAGAGGGAACAGAGACGATGTGGGGAGCAGAAAAAAACAAAAACGAATGCCCCCAAACTCTAATATCTTCAGAGAGAAAAGGCTTGTATCATAAAAGTGGATAGCTTTATTAAAAAGAAATGAGAGAAAAATTCTTTAAAAATCAAATAGATGAAATCCATGCCACAGAAAGATCAGAAGGTAAGTCAAGGAAATCTAGAGAGCAGGAAAGGTTAAAAGATGGAAAGTAGGAGACCTTAAGAGGTCCAATCGCTGATAAAAGAGAATTCCAGAGACTAGAAAAAACAGAAGGTAGGAAATTATCAGACACATTGTAAGTAAATTTCAAGAACTGAAAAGTATGAGTTTCAGATTGAAAAGGCCCACTAGGTGCCCAACAGGACAGATGAAAAAAGATCCAGACGCTAAGACACAGCTTTGCAAAATTTCAGAACACCAGGGACAAAGCAGAGCTCCCAAAAGATCTGAGAAAGAAAAAAAAAAAATCGTCATATACAAAGAACTGGAAATCATAATATTGTGGGACTTCTCAAAAGCAAGCCTGGAGGCTAGAAGATGATGGAGCAATGTTTTCAAATGTCTGAGAGAAAATGCTTTCAGCCTAGAATTCTCTCTCCAGACTATGAAGTGACACCCAGGTCACTTAAGCGTGGGGGCAGAATAAACACATCTGCAGACTTGTACGGGCTCTAAAAATTGGCCCGCCACGCACACTTTCTTTGGAAGCTCTGAAGGATGTGCCCTACAGAAACGAGAGAGAAAACTTAAGAAATAAGTGGCCGTGGGGTCTAGGAGACAGAGAATCCACTGTAGGGAGTGTGGGGGCAGCAGGAGGGCCCAGGAAGGGGGCTGTGCAGCACATCTGAGAGGACAGAGGGGAAGTGGCATGAGCTCGTGGGATAAAGTACCTCGAGGGGTCTTCCAGAATTGGGTAGAACCGGTGATTACTCCTTAAAAAGTAGAAGAAAAAAAAAGCAAGGATTAACCATACCCACTCGTCTTGGCAGTGAACAATTTTTACGTTTATAAAATTTTATGTTTCTAACAATATAAACATAGAAACTGAGTTATCAAAAATTGATAACAAATAACGTCTCAACTCAAGACTATTGTTTAGAGCAATAAAGATACATACCAGAAAAAAAGAGCATGAAGTGTTGCTCTTGGGGTACAAATATTTTTTTAAAAAAGGCTTTTAGTCCTTTTTGTCATTTAAAACTATATATCACTTTGATGAAAATAAAAATTAATTTTAAAAAGGGATGTTTTAACAGAATATTTCCTAATGCAAAAAAAAAAAATCAAACATAAAATAAAATGTTATTTTACAATGTCAAATTGTATCTAATTGTTTTCTGGGGTAAGTGTTGCCAGTTTAGAAATAAGTATTCGATGATGCAACCTGAAATGGGGCTTGAGGTTCTGCTTTGTCGACATTTTTGGAAATCCAGGCTCACCCTGGTGTGTGTTAATGGAAATGCAAGGCACGGCCCACCATTCTCACACTTGAGATGCTGGGACCTAAAAGGAGGACGGAGGAGGCCAGCTCAAGCAGGCTGAGGGGCCATGCATTGGCTTCAGAAGGCTGTTGTCGGGTTCAATTTCTTTCATCTAGACCTTTGCAAATGGCTCTTACATGTCTCTAATCAATTCCTCTTTCCGTTCACCCCTTCCTGCCGCTTGTTATGTTTCTATAACTCGTCATTCCTCAACCTCAAATTTTCAAACCCCCTGATGTTAAAAAGGTTCCCAAAGCCTATAATAAAGTTCAAATGTTGGGTATGGTATTCAGAACCTCTTGTGATTTGTCCAGTCTCATTTCCCTTACTCCCTGCGCTCTGGGCATCACCCTGGACCATTCTCAGTTCCCCAACATATTGGTCACATTCCTTTCTCTGGGCCTTCGCTCAAGTTGTTCACTACCTAGAATTCCCTTACCGCCCACTCCTTCCCCTTTAAAACCCTCCTCTTGGAAGCCTATCCCAGCCCTAGTCAATACTGATAGCAGCCTCCTTGGGGTTCTCAATAACCACTCGACAGTGGGGTATAATCTGGCTTGGCCCAGTTAATGCATGTAGATAGGCCTTCCCACTAGACTGAAGGCTCCTTCAAGGCCAGGCTTGGCTCTGGTTCATGTTCTATTCCCCACAGTATGAGGTACAAGGTGTGCCAAACACCAGCATCAACACGCCCTCAAGGGCAGCAGGCCAAGGGACTCTATTGTTGGCCTCAACCAACGTGCAGCTGGGCTCTACTCCCCAGTGTCTAGACTCCAGGCATGGGCCTGAGTGTATCTGAACACCAAATGACCCCCTTCCATCACCCCAGTGTATCTTGATCATCTTCACTTTCATCCTCTCTTCTGGTCAAAACAGAAAAAGTTAGTGAAATAACCCAAAATGCCCTGTGGCAAAACCAGGACACCTCCAAAGAACCCACATGTTAGTAAACAGCAACCAAAACCAGAAGCAAAGATCAGTCTCATTTCACTGTTGTTGCTTCTGGGTTTGATTCAGTTCCCAAAGCTCCAAGCTTGGGGAACAAGTTACATACTTTACAAATACAGTGAATACTATGGGTGGGGAGCTCCTTCCTGACTATGAGCAACCGGCCTGGGTTAGTGATGGGGTGGAGAGAACCTTGAAGAACTGTGAGACTTAAATCTCTTCCACCCTGGCTTATGATGTGTTTGGGTTACCCAGGGTGCGGGTCCATGCCCAACACTGTTGTTAAAACACTTTTTAGTATCGTGGAAGATTTGCCCCAAAATAAAATGCAGAAAGGTTCAAATGCAAAAATACAAATCGGCTGACACTGCTATAACCAGAATGACCTTCTGAACACAAACTGATCTTGTTGCCCTCTTTTACAATTCTTCAGTGGTTTCCAATGGCCTGTGGGATGTAAAGTCCAGATCCCTTTGCAGGTATTTCAACCCTTCACATCGGCCCCTGTTGCTCAGTTCAGCCTGGTGATCCATGAATCCTCACCCACTGTACATTCCAGGCAGGTGAACTATTTGATTGAGGTTCTCTCCAGACACACCTCCATGGTGTGCACACACTCTGACTCCTGCCTGGAATGACTGTCCCTGGCTTGTTCCTTGAATGGGCTTCTGTTCTTCCTTCAATAGTCAGCTCCAATCTCTCCTCCTCTGTCTTAGCTCCTCTTTCCCAAGGGCCCACAGCACTTTGCACTGGCATCCATGGAGGCAATGGTCATATTCTTTATCACTGTTTGCATGTCTTATCTCCAAGGAGACTGTAAATTCCTTAAGGGAGAGATGGAGTCTCCATACTTGAGTCCCTAGCGATCAGCAGGTGCTCAGTAAATGTTTTCTACACTCATAAATGAAATCTGCCTTCTGAGATTTCACAGGTGTCCTCGCCAAGGGACTAAATGACTGAAGTGGGTGAGTCTTCAGGCGATCAGACTGTTTCAGAATGGGAGCTCTTAGTCCAGAGAAAGCAATACAAAAACAACTACACTCAGAGCTCATCCAAATAAAAGCATTTTTAAAGATTTCATCTTCTGTACTTCACCTCACAGTCAGGGAAGGAGTAAATCTGACTTCTTCAACTGGGCGATAAAATGACTCCCATACAAAGCTGTCTTGAGAGTGAGTAACTGGTGACAGCGACGACATATCTAAAAAGCTTCTCGGAGGCA